CTGAAATTCTTTTGGCTAGAAGCATTTGCCGGAAAAAACAGTGGCGTTAGCGACACAAATCTGCGGGGAGCTATGCAAAAAACGCATCTTCGCACGGGCAGCTCGTGCTTTGGCCATTTATTTTAAAATTGTGACTACTAAACTGGAAGTGCTAACTCAGGTGACTTTCGAGTTGATGGTGCACGAACTTGAAGCAAACTTTTGGTGAACTGGAGTCAAGAGGGCTTTCTGTAAATGCGCTTCACATAATGAAGCGACTCAGTGCAGTGTCACAGTTTTACCCCCGATGATCTTTTGCTCCATGGTCCTGCTTTTCATTAACATTACATTTTTTTTTCACTGGTATTAGTTAATTTTTTTAGGTAGAATGCATTTTTTCACATTTCCTAGCGCACTTAATATTTGAACTGCCTTATCATTTAGTTACGGACAGTGCGGTGTCGGACATAAGAATAAAGTTGAGAGCGCTGTGGAAATTGTTGGCAATTACGGATGCGCAAAAATGATAACTGCTGGACAGTATCATTCTGCCCTTGTCAACGAGCAGGGACAGGCTTTCACTTGGGGCTGGTCATTTTACGGTCAACTCGGAAACGGTTCTGTATTCGAAGACGTCACAGAGCCATATTTTGTCAAATTCTTCACGTAAGTTTTTTATAACGCTCACTTTTTGTTAAAGTTTTTTTGCTATGGCCTCTTTGCGAATCATTACCCGATTTTCATTTCCTGCATTTATGGACCGATTAGACGAGTTAGAGAATTCAGCGGAAACAGAATTCAAGAAGTCAGTTGAGAGAGAATTCGGCGGAAAGGCCTGGGATTGCTGCGGCAGACATCTGGGTATGCTCATTTGTTTGAGTGGTCCTGATGTCCCATGAGTTGCACGATTTTGTTTCCGGCTCCTCTAGATGTTAATCAAGAGAAAGCGTGGAAATAGTACGAACTGCTGGTCAAATGAAGAGTATTTATTGGAGAATGGGCCAGCTTTTATCGTTTGCCAACCAGTTTTATCTTTTTATACAGTCTGTAGTGTACTTGATCTGGAGCATGTTTATTTGCTGCCAGAATAATTTATGCAATTTTAAGCATTGCATTCGTACAATCGCTATGAAATTTCGCAGCTTTTGGTAATTTTTTAGTCAAAAATGTGTGATTTCCAACAGTGGTCATTGAAAATTGCGAGCAGGAGCTTTAATTTTTATGCGTTTTGTGCTGTGTAACAGCATTACAAAACGCATATTGTCACGGGGTTGTCTGTGTTTGTATATGTGTGTGTGTCCCACATTTTGTCCCGCACTTTCAACTTGGGAACCACAAAAGCTAGGCAGGTGAAATTTTGGTATAGTGTTCTCCGCCAGCGGGTGACGCGGCAAATTTAAATTCAGCCTTCCCGTACCCGCGGGTAACACATACGGCCCCGTGAAAGTTTTTTACGGGTAAATTAATATCTCGGGAAACACGGAGTTTAGAAGGCTGAAATTTTAGGGTAATGACCAGGAAGTGCGGGAACGCTGAATTTGAATAGGCGCGCTCAACCTTGCCTATTCAAATTCAGCGTTCCCGCGCTCTCGGGTATCTCCTTCGGGCTAGTGAAAGTTTTTGCGGGTAAATTATTATCTCGGGATTCACAGAAAGATATTCACCCTTCAAGGTTTCAAATTCAGCTTTCGTGCACTGGTGCGTGAAATTTTTAACCGTTCTCCAATGTTTGAACTATTTTTGCATAGACTAAAGTACAAACCAGTGGAAATCATTAATAAGCAATCGTCCGCTGAGCTGAATCGCACAAACTGCATGATTGCACCGGCTGGTCTGGTGCACCTTGCCATTTATGTACTCCTGTTACACAGTACAAAACACATAAAAAAAGTTTTTGATGACAGCGCGACGCAAGGATGAGAAGTCGATGAAAATCAAGCGAAACCCAGACAATGTGAAATTTAAAGTGCGCTGCAGCAAAAAACCCTCCACTCCCATCCCCAACCCCCTCCACTCCCCATCCCCATCCCCAACTCCCCTCCACTCCCCATTCCTTAAAATGATCGTCATGTCCAAATAAAGACTTACAAAAACCAGTACGGCAGCCGTTTTCAAATAATTGGATTCAACGCATGTCCCGAAAGAAACGGGGTAGTCCATTCCAATAAAACTGTTTGTACAATGACCGGGTTCACTTTAGCACAAAAGAAGAAATAGGTTCACAAAAAAACAAAAAAAAAAATCCTTTTACAAATACTATTCAGCAATGATTCAGCATTACACACACTGACCAATAGGCTGACGAGAACTACGCTAAGCGATGGGAGTGCTGGAAAAAAGCAACTCTGCACACTGTGATCTGCGAAAACAGCGGCCTCATTGGGATTATCGGAAGGTACTCCGACGGGACACAGCGAATAAAAAGGAAGGCAATAAGACAGGACCGAAAATGGGTGCTAAGAGTAACTCTTCGGGTCGAAGAATGCATCCGTTAAGAAAGCGGATTCATTACCCTTGTGGAGTCGCTGTATGAAAACAGCCAAAATTCTGGTGTTCGCCTTGCAATATCAGACTGTTCAATTTCGTTTAAGCAGTGCGGGAGAGACTAAGACAACGTACTAACTCGTCATTCAACCCAACTTTGGTTTTTTACAAATACTAGAGGCAAGAGACAAGGTGGTCTAGCATGCAACCATTGGAAAGGATGAGCGAGGCGCACAGGACATTTACCTCCAGCCAACTCTGTTTAGCATGCAAGCGAAGGTTGTGAGCTACCGGTTTGGCATGTGAAGTCTCACACCTATGATGGAATTTTCTTGAAATAAATTCGCTAAGTGGATTTGGGCAGCCGAAATTGCTTACTGAAGGTTGTTGCCGCTAGCCTCACACACACA